CCGGGGGCGCCCTCCCGCCCTGGGCCGCCCCCCCCGCCTGGCCCCCTGGCCCCCCCGAGCCCCGGCTCTGCCCCCCCGCCTACCCCGAGCCCCCGGTGCGGGGCTGCCCCTGGCCCCGCGGCACCAAGGACGTCCTGCCGGTGAGCGCCTGGGGGCTCTCGCTCCCCCTCCCCGGGTATTTTTAGCCGCTAATCGCACTAATCGCCTTGTCCGTGCCGAGGCGGCAGGGCTGGGGGAGCCCCGCGGTGCCGGGCTGAGCCGTGCCGTCGCCCGCAGGCTTGCCCCATGAACAGCCACCCGCCCGGCCGCAGCGGGCGCTCGGTGCAGGAGATCTGGGAGGATTTCTCCCTCAGCTTCACCCCCGCCGTCCGTGAGGTGGTCGAGTTCGCCAAGCACATTCCCGGCTTCCAGGCCCTCTCCCAGCACGACCAGGTCACCCTGCTCAAGGCCGGCACCTTCGAGGTACGTCCCGGGATGGCGAGGGCGCAATGGAGGGCACGGTGCCCCACGGACTGGCCCGCAGCCCCATGGCATGGGCACAGTGCCCCTGCAGCATTGCACAGCTCCCCGTGGCATTGCACAGTGCCCCACAGCCTGGCACGGAGCCCCGTGGCATCGCATGATGCCCCATGGTGTGGAGCCCTGGCATGGAGCACGGCATTGCATGGTGCCCCACGGCATTGCACGGTAGCCCACAGTGCTGCAGGATGCCTCCCCAGCATGGCACGGTGCCCCATGGACTGGCATAGTGCCCCACGGCGTTGCATGGTGCCCCACAGCATTGCACAGCAGCCCCCGGTGTTGCGGGATGCCCCGCGGCCTGGCACGGTGCCCCATGGCCCGACATAGTGCCCCATGGCCCAGCACGGTGCCCCATGGCATTGCACGGTAGCCCATGGCATTGCAGGATGCCCCTCGGCATGGCTCGGTGCCCCCGTCCCGCTGACGCCGCGTGTGCCGCAGGTGCTGATGGTTCGCTTCGCCTCGCTGTTCGACGTGAAGGAGCAGACGGTGACGTTCATGAGCCGGACGAAGTACAGCCTGGAGGAGCTGTGGGGCATGGGCATGGGCGACCTCCTCAGCTCCATGTTCGAGTTCAGCGAGAAGCTCAGCGCCCTCGACCTCACCGACGAGGAGCTGGGGCTCTTCACCGCCGTCGTGCTGGTCTCGGCAGGTGGGAGCCAGGGCGACGTGAGGGGGGATCGGGGAGGGTCGCTGCCCGCCCGCTGACGCCCCGTCCCCGCAGACCGCTCGGGCATGGAGGACACGGCGTCGGTGGAGCAGCTGCAGGAGACGCTGATCCGCGCCCTGCGCGCCCTGGTGCTGAAGACGCACCCGGCGGAGACGTCGCGGTTCACCAAGCTGCTGCTGAAGCTGCCGGACCTGCGCACCCTCAACAACCTCCACTCCGAGAAGCTGCTCTCCTTCCGCATCGACGCCCAGTAGGGCCCAACGGACCCCAGGGACCCCCCCGCGCACCCACCCCCCCTGTACATAGCACTGTGGGCGGGGGGGGACGACACACCGGCCCCCCGAGGGGCAGCACGAACCCCGCGGCGCCCGCCGGACTCCCGGGGGGCTGCGGGTCCCCGACA